ATTTTGTGTATTTAACTCGCGGTCGTTACAAATTTTAAAAAATTTATATACACGTGGGCAATATAAATACTGGTATGCAAGGGAAGAAAAAGTAGGGAATGAGCGAATATAAAGATAGGAGACGAAAAATTAGAAGTAGCTGATTTTAGGTATCTAAGAAGTCAGATAAGTCAGGACGGAAGGAGCAGTAGGGATATAAATGAGAGGATAGCGCAGGGTCGTGTCACTTTTAATAAAAAAAGTCACTTCTATGCTCGCGAATAGTTAATTTAGAAATTCGAAAAAGGTTGTTAAAGATAAATGTTTGGAGCCCGGCGTTGTACAGGTGCGAAACATGGCCAGTGGGCGCGGCTGAAAAGAAAAGGTTAGAAGCGTTCGAAATGTGGTGTTACAGGCAAATGATGAGGATACCGTGGATAGAGAAGGTTAGAGATGAAGAGGGATTAGAAAGAATAGGAGAACAGAGGACTCTACGGAAGTCAATAAGAAATAGGTTAGGTTAGGTTTGTAGGACACCGTCTAGGGCATGAAGGTCTAGTCATACACATATTAAAGGCAGAAAGTGGAGTTAGGAGGAATAGAGGTAGATCTAGATTAGATTACTGTTCGCAAATTGTTAAGGATGTGGGTTGTTCTAGTTTGAGGGAAATGCGAAGTTTAGCTCAGGATTGGAAAGAGTGGAGGTACCTGTCCAACCAGTCTTAGGACTGACGACCTTATGATGATGATACACATGGGGCTAAGACACGTTCTTTAACTCTTCTAGAACTTTCTATGTTATCAAGTTTTTATTAATTAAAATTCGTCATTCGTTATTGATATTCACTTTGGAAATTCGAGCTCAACTACTACAACGTCAGGTTTAGAAAAAGAATATCCAAGAATGATCGAAACTTCGCCTTTTCGTGTAAATTAACAAACTTTTTTATGTTTAGTTTTTATCTAATTGAATAGCCTATTCCCAATTAATTCGCAGTCATTACAAATTTTGAAGAAGAAAACCTACTACAAATAAACATAACGAAAATATTGCAAAATGTGTAGATATGAATTTTGAGAGCCCTGANACGTGTTATTTCTAATCTTTCTAATTATTTTTATGTTAAAAACCCATTAATTGTAATTGTTTTTTATTGTATTTGTTGGTACTTACACATAAGCAAGCAAGTTATATACATATGTGTCAGATAAATACAGAAAGGCATAACGAAACGAAAGAATAACTCATTTTGTAGTAGTAAATAATATAAATTTTAAAACCATTACTATTTTAGTTAATATAAAACTAGCTGTTTGGTGTGGTGGGACACCCGGTAGGAATGAAGTTTCTTACGTTATCTGCTCACGATATTTCGCAATGGCAATTTTAGGACTGAAGTTTTTTTTTTATGTTTTCGTGGAAGAGTGTCGGATTCCCGAGGAAGAAGTCCTCGGACCTACCGACTAAAACCCCTCTACCAGAGGCGGATTAAATGTTGAGAGCGCTCTAGGCTATCACCTCATAGGCGCCCCTCTGGCGGTCATATATTTTGCAAAATACTTTTTTTTTATTAGGTATTGCCTAATTTTTTTTTTTTAGGTTTAAAAACTTCCGCGCGCGCCCCTTTTTAACCTTGCGCCCCTAGGCATATGCCTACTTTGCCTTATGGTTTAATCCGCCACTGCCTCTACCTCTAGCCGTTCTAGGACCAATGGTCCTCTTCTGCCGACTGTAGGTTGTTACTAACATATTATTATAGCTTCCGAAGCTTTTTGAAATGACTGCTATTAGATAGAAAGATCACTAGATGGCAGACTAATCGAATCTACTCTCTACCTCTTGCTGCATGCAGAGAGGGAGAGAGATGTCTACTAACACGTTCGATTTTTGGTCCGCGTTGCTTGACTTAGAGCAGGGATGGCGAACCAATGGCACGCGTGCCATTAGTGGCACGGGACACAATATTTTGGGCACGTCACTAATGTTTCTGTCATTGATTCTTTAATCAAGGAATTTTCAGCAAGATTTTCTCACTTCAGAGAATTATCGGAAATACTAATACGAAAGTTTATTATGTACACTGGTGTGACATTTGATAAAATAAATTGAAGAATCTGAAATGCAGCTGATTGATTTCCAGTCTAGTTCAATATGATTCAAAAAGTTGTTGAAACAAGGAAAGAGTTACAAATAATTGAAACAGAAAGATTGACGGGTAATACAAGTGAAAATGCTAATAACAAAATTTTGGAAACATGGAATGCGATAACAACACATTTAATTTTTTGAAAAAGCTGGCATATGATATTTTAATAATGTTTTCATCAACCTATGCCTGCGAGTCATCATTTTCAGAGATTAATAACATCAAAAACTCGCAGTTACAAACCGTTTGGTAGGGGAAGGTGGTCTGAGATGGCATAGATTTCGAAAAAATGAATTTTTAGGAATCTTGTAACTTAATTGAAATAAATAGCCCATCTATGTAAAATAAAGGTTTATTATCTTCTTAGAATAATTGAACAAAATGAACACAAATTACTATTTCTTTGGAAAACAATCATTTTTAAAAAAGTCTTGAAAATCCATCTCACCCAACCCCTATGGGTAAGATGGCATACAATTAACAGTACTCATCCAAATCACCGTTTTACTTGCAAATATCACAAATGACAGGTTTTGACGTTTTTGGTAATCCAATGCACTCTGCGTGGCACCATCGACGACAGATTTGACATCGAAGCCAGCATTCTTTGGGTCGGGAATGGCTCCAAGGCTCCATGCAATAAATGCAGGATGGATCTTCATCGTCCGAGGCGAATGGTTCTTCCTCGTCACCTGATTCTGCCAACACGATTCTTTTTTTAGTTTTACGAGCAGACTTTCTTGAAGCTTCTGCGTTTTTTTCAGCTACAATAGCTTTTAGTTGTGTTATATCTGGAGATGAATTCAGTATTCCGAATTTGCCTTTCTTACGGTTCACAAATCTTTTCGTTTGCGAACATTTGGGCAATGGAGATATATCTGCAATCGTTAAAGTTGCTTCAGTTCGATTGTTAGATTGGGAGCTCTTTGGATCTGAAGGTTCTCCATCGGTCTGGACATTTGTCTGCGAGCTCACTGGTACTGAAGGCCCTGCATCAGTCTGTTCATTTGTCTGAGAGCCCTCAGGCGCTGAAGGCCTTGCTTCGGTTTGGTTATTTGTCTGAGAGCTCTGAGGCGCTGAAGGCCTTGCTTCGGCTTGGTCTCTTGTATGAGAACTCTCCGGCGTTGAAGGCCCTGCTTCATTTGGGTCACTTGTCTGAGAACTTTTCGACGGTGCAGGCCCTGGTTCGTTTGGATCATTTGTCTCAAAGCTTACAGGTACTGAAAGCCCAGCCTCGTTTTCATCGTTTATCTGAGAGCTCACAGGTGCAGAAGGTTCTGCCTCAGCTTCGGCTTGAGACTGGGAGGTCTGGTCAGTGACGTCTGAAGGTGCAAACATGAGATGGCATACATACTGGGTGAGATGGCATATACCCTATGCCGTCTCATCTGACAGGTACTTAATTTAGAAAACAAGTGGCAACTCTTTCATTCTTCAAGTTAGTCTAATATTTCAAGCTACATATTTGTCACACTCAGATCTAAAAACAATATTGGCAGTTACCTACCTGTTAGCTTTCGTACAACAGCAGGAATCTGACTTTTTCTTCACTAAAAACAAGATTTTGAGAGAGGTTGTTTTACAAAAACCGACGTGCGCTCCGCTTCGATCGTCCGCACGCACTGTCGATGCGGCCGGTCGGAACGAGTTTCTATCGGCGATGTATCTGTGTGTATAGGGTCGCCACCGGACTACAAACGGCGAAAATATTGCTGCTATGCCATCTCAGACAGTATGCCGTCTCAGACCACCTTCCCCTAGATGACTCCAATTCAGCATGCATTCTGCTAAAATTAACATCTTACAACCCTAACATAAGCTTAGGCAAAAAAATTTTATGTCAAATGAATTTTTGTTGTTTAAAGATTACTTGCACTTTGAAAATTTTCTTAGATGCTTGTGAATAATTTCTATTTTGCGCCAAATAATTTTCTTTTTGTTTTAACGTTCTATAGCAATATAAGAAAAATGCAAATATTTTTTGAACCTTCTTCAAAGTAGGTAACAAACCGACCGGGTCGGGTACGAACTCGTCAGAACTAGTGTCTTACAGGAAAACAAATAAAACACAAATAGAACTTTAAAACTGTTTATTTATTTAATCGTAGAAATTGACAAGTGATTGTGATCGTCAATAGTAGTATGACTTTTTATACATACGTTGTGTGATATTAGTAACTCATTCATAAAATTTGTTTTTTCCTATATGAAACGTCAATTTTCTGTAAAAAACTTGAACCTAGGCTCTCTTAATATATGACTTTTTTTGAAATAGGTATGTCTATAATTGTTAATGTTTTATATAGCACTTCGCTTGTTATATAATAAAATAATCCGGAACTCACCACGTGGAGGTGGTTGCATGTCGAATTCTACCTACCCGCCCTCCTTTCCTATTCTTATTCTTCAAATGAAGGCCTTGAAGAAGTCAAATTTAGTCTCAAATATTCGCAGTACTCATCGGGAAGTTATTGTCACCTTCCCATGCGTCAAAGATGCCGTCGCTATCGATCGTTTACTACATTCATTCCTACCAATGTTATTACAATTTTGGGAACAGTAGTAGAAAGTTATTTTTAGCCTACACACCTGTTATTTTCAGTTCTTAAGGATCTCTGTAGTTTACGATTTCCTACCTATTAAGTAAAAGACTTTGACGAATTATGCAACAGATTGCCTAACTAAACTAAAAAGTATTTAAAACAACCGACCAAAACCACACAACCATCCTTGAGATATTCATTATTTTTAAAGTTTTCTATTTTCTGCTATCCTCCTCATCTTGATAAAAGGTCAAAAATTTGAAAATGTCAAAGATGGTTGTATAGTTTCGGTCAGTTGTTATAAATAATTTGTAAGAAATTATCATTATAGGTATGTTCGATATTTGGCCCATTATGGGGAGGTGTGCACCAGTAGGCAAAAGGGAACTTCTATACATATTTCCTTTTGGATTAGCAGCATGGCTAGCCGGTTTAGTTTTCATAAATAGGAGAGAGCCGAGTCAAGCCAAAAGCCAAATGAATCAAGCCGCCTTGTGGGCCAAAAAAGAGAAGGTAATATTTAATAATAGTGTTTTCTCATAAGTAATATGAAGAATTATATTGAACACATATTACCTGCTGAATTCGAAGGTAATTATAATTTGCTAATATGAATTTCATATTTTCCTAAAAAGAGTAGTAACTATTCAACTTTTATTCTATACATATCATCATCATCATAGGGTCGTCAGTCCTAAGACGGGTTGGACACGTACCAACACTTTCCTATCCTGAGCTAAACTTCGCAGTTCCCTAAAACTAGAACAACCCACATCCTTAACTATTTGCGATCAGTAATCTAACCTAGGTTTACCTTTACTCTTCCTAACTCCTGTTTCTGCCTCTAATATGTCTCTGACTAGACCTTCATGCCTGAGAAAGTGTCGTACTAACCTATCTCGCCTATTTCTTATTGACTTCCATAGAGTCCTCTGTTTTCCTATTCTTTCTAATACCTCTTCATTTCTAACCTTTTCTATCCACGGTATCCTCATTATTCGCATGTAACACCACATTTCGAACGCTTCTAACCTTTTCTTTTCCGCCGCGCCCACTGTCCATGTTTCGCACCCGTACAACGCCGTGCTCCAAACATACACCTTTAACAACCTTTTTCGAATTTCTAAATTAACCGTTCGCGAGCATAGAAGTGACTTCTTTTTATTAAAGGCGACACGACCCTGCGCTATCCTCTGCTTTATATCCCTACTACTCCTTCCATCCTCACTTATCTGACTTCCTAGGTATCTAAAATCAGCCACTTCTTCTAATTTTTCGTCTCCTATCTTTATATTCGCTCTTTCCCTACTTTTTCTTCCCTTGCATACCAGTATTTTAGTTTTACTTTTATTTATTTTCATACAGTACTGATCTGTCAGTACCGCTTCCATTTTATTTAAAGCTATCTCTAGGTCCTCCTTGCTAGATGCTAATACTGCTATATCATCTGCAAATCTAAGCATACTAATTTTTTGCCCTTGCACATCTATCCCTACAGTTGTACTGTCTTTATTGATGTTGATGGCGTCTTCGATGTATAGATTAAAAAGTAGCGGTGACAGTGTGCATCCCTGTCTGACTCCCTTCCTAATATTTACTTCTCTACGTTGGTGCCCCAGCTCTATAACTGCCTGTTGCTCTTTATACAAACTAAATATCACTCTTTTATCTTTGTAACTCATCCCTACATTTTTAAGTATATTTAAGATTTTGTTAATTCTTTACATAGTAAATTAATAATTAGGCAAACCAACAAAATGGGGAAGTATTTCGATGCACTTGAAGGTGCGCATGAGCGAGCTTTAATGACACGTTTATAGCTATACTACGTAGAACAAAGACACAACCCCCTCCCATAATTTACCGCCAAAAAGTTTTACATTTTTCACGTATTGGTAATAGTAATGACCAGAAATGTTGAAAAATTAATGACAATGTTTCCTAATGATTTTCCGAAGTTTCTCATAAGTTATTTTTATCACGCTAGTTTTGTCTTCTGAAGGATTTATGAACTGCGTCATTCTCTGCCGACTTTCGGACGCTTCAAAGGTGCCGTCAGTATCGATCGCCTGCGGCCTTCGTTCACATGTACCATTATATATTATTAATAAGAAATAACAGAATATGTAGTAAAATAAATACTAAATTCTTCTAAACAGAAAAAAGTAAATCCGTCGATTGTTTCCGTCATTTGTTAAATAGTCCCACTCAAAACTCGTTTGTTCTTTATTCAAATTTACATTAAATCAATTTTTTTTCAAATTCTAATTTTTTAATTGTAGATAAAGCTTTGGATTTTTCCGGAAGGAACGAGAAGAGACACTGGCAAAATAGACGAATTTAAAAAAGGAGCTTTTTATACAGCAATATACGCTCAACTTCCAATCTTGCCGGTAGTTTTCAGTAACTACTATTTTCTGAACAGTCGAGAAAAACGTTTTGATCCTGGTAAGTAAAATTTAATTAAGGATGGTTGATACAATAGAAAAACAACAGATGGATTTAGATGAAACATTTAAAATGACCGATTTTATAGTCTTTTATTTAATGGTTTTTAGTGGTAGGTACTGGTAATTTACTTTTTCAATTGTTTGCATTTCCAAATTTATATAGATCAACTACGTTGTTTTTGCTAAAAAATAGTACATACGTATACTTCGTTTACTTTCTGTAGCGATGTGACCTTCAGTTTGACCAGCGCAAAGTAGAAAAGAATAGCACTAGGCCAGAAAAGAAAGGAGACAACTCTCGGCCAAACTCTTAACCGGTGAGCAGCATATAATCCGTACAGTACTGCACGGAAAAATTGGCCATTTTATCCACTACAATTGCATTGCTCAAATGTGCTGTTTTTGGTACCATTTACTACTGAAAATATCAACGAGATGTTTATTGATATTTGAAGACATATTAAAGGCTTTAACGCTTGTTTTCGACTTGCACTACTATTCATGATTGAACAAAACTTTTGGCAGGTACTGTATGAAAAAGTATGTTTAATGAACAAGAGTCGAGAGT